CCATATGCACTTGAGAAGAATGTATATACTGTGGCTTTGGGTGAAATGTTTTGAAGATGTCAATTAATTCCATATGGTCTAGTAAATCATTTAAGATTGATTTTTTTTTGCAGATTGATCTTTTAGAGTATTTGTCCAATGGTAATAGTGGGATAATAAAGTCTCCTACTATGATTGTATTTCTGTTAATCTCTCTTTGATATCCTTAGGAGTATTTTTGTGTATTTGGGTGCTCCTGTATTGGGTGCATATATGTTTACCAGAGTCATTTCTTATTGTTGGTTTGCTCCCTTTAGTATTATGAAGTGGCCTTCCTTATCTCTTGTTATGACCTTACTTTGAGATCTAATTAGTCTGATATAAGTATTGCTACCCCAGCTTTTTTTTTTTTTTTTTTTTTTTTTTTTTTTTTTTTTTTTTACCATGTTGTCTTCTAGCTCACTGATGTGGTCCTCTGCTTCTCCTATTCTACTCTTGATGCTTTCTATTGAGTTCTTTACAACAGTGATGTCATTTTTTATTTCTTCTTGGTTCTTCATTTCTTCTTGGTTCTTACTCATATTGTCAAATTTGTCTTCCATTCTTTTTAGCTACCTTATGGTCATTTCTCTTAATTCTTTCTCTGATAGGTTGTTTGCCTCTAATTCATTTACTTCCTTTTCTGGTGATGTCTCATTTTCTTTAATATATGGGCTGTTTCTTTGTCTCCCCATGGTCTCTGTTCTTAGGATGCCAGGTTATGTAGTTCTCTCTTTCCTTATCCCCAGTGAAATCTGACCTTTCCATAATGGAGTGAAGAGCTCCTTTGAATCCGTATGTTTGTGCCAATTGGGGACAGGTGTTCTCAGGCTCTCATCTGTTCAGTGGTTGCTGCAGTTATGGATATTCAGGCTTCTGATAAGATCCACTTTACCTTTCAAGATGTCATGGTTTCCCCATCTGAGCCCGTAGCTCTGGGAGGGTACCCAACTGCAGTGTGGGCTGCCTGGTCAGGGGAATCCCATCCAGCAGTCCCCCACCTTCTCCTGGACTTTAGGTGTCTCTTAGTTTGCCAAGGAACACTCTCCATGTGACCCTCAGCTACTCATTTCTGTTCCAGGACAAGGCTCAGAACACATCTGCCTATTCTTTCACCATTTTCTCCCCTTCAACCAAATGTCTTAAAGCATTTTCCCATGCCTCATCTCATTTGATCTCCACAGAAGTCTTGGAGTAGTTAGATAGGAAACTCGGTGGAATTCTATTTTCTTTTCATTAGCTGGATCCACACATGTCTCCAGCAAAAGGCTGGGAGAAAGTGGCTGCTGTCTTCAGATGAACAACAGAGCATTAGTGGATGAAGATGAGTTATGACAGGCAGCAGAAGTCCAGCTAATCAGGCATAATGTAGCACCTCTTAAATTCTGTGGCTGAGGTGAGGGAGAAGGTGCAGAAACTTGGAGTCTGGGGAGAGTATGGGGCTCAGGAGAAGTGGCAGCATTCATATTTCTTAAGTATTCTTGAGTCATATTTCTTAAGTATTCTTGAGAGGACATTTCATAATATTACAGACCTACCTCAAGAAATTTTTTAAAATCACTAGTAAATTATCTAACCCTACGACTAAATTGGAAAGAGAACAAGAAAATCCCAGAGGAAGTAGAAGGAAGGAAATAATAAAATTCAAATTAGAAATGAATGACATAGAGATAAAAAAACAACAACATACAAAACAAACAAACAAAAGCAGTATAAAAGATCAATGAATTCAAGAGGTGGTTCTCTGAAAAGGTAAGCAAGATTGGTGAATGCCTAACTAGATTCATCAAGAAACAAAAAAGACCCAAATAAATAAAATAAGAAATGAAAGAGGAATAATAACAATGGACACAACAGAAATACAAATATATTAAACAAATACTATGAGCAATTATATGTCAACAAACTGGACAATGTGGATGGAATGGACAAATACCTATAAAAAATACAGCTTCCAAAACAGAATCAGGAAGAAGAATGAAACCTGAATAGGACAATAACAGCTGGTGAAATTCAAGCAGTAATTAAAAACTTTCCAGTAAACAAAAGTCCTGGACTTCTTGGATTTATAGAATAATTTTACCAAACACTCAAAGAAGAGCTAATCCCTATTCTCCTCAAACTATTGTTAAAAAATGCAAAATGAGCCAGGACCGGTTTGGCTCAATGGATAGAGCGTCGGCTTGGGGACTGAAAGGTCCCGGGTTCGATTCCGGTCAAGGGCATGTACCTTGGCTGTGGGCATATCCCCAGTGTGGGGTGTGCAAGAGGCAGCTGATCGATGACTCTCTCTCATCGATGTTTCTGACTCTCTATCTCTCTCCCTTTCTCTCTGTACAAAATCAATAAAATATATTAAAAAATTTAAAATAAAAAAAATAAAAGTCTCAAAAAAAAAATGCAAAATGAGGGAACACTTCCATGATCTGTTTATGAAGCAAACATTATCCTAATTCCAAAACCATATAAAGTCACTACAAAGGAAGAAAATTACAGGCCAATATTCATGATGAACAAAGACGCTAAAATCCTCAATTAAATATTAGTAAATAGTTTATAGTAATATAATAAAAATATCATAAATCATGATCAAGTGGGATTTATTCAGGGGACTTACAGTTAGTACAATATTTGAAAATAAATAAATGTGATATATCCATAGACAAAATGAAAGATAAAAATCATATAATCATATCATTAGATGTAGGAAAAGCATTAGACAAAAATCCAGCAGCATTTTTTTAAAATATATATTTTTTATTGTCTTAAAAGAAGAAGGCAGAAAGAGAGATAGAAACATCAATAATGGGAAAGAATCATTGATTGGCTTCTTCCTCCAACCCCTATACCCTCTCACTGGGGATTGAGCATGCAACTTAGGTATATGCCCCAACCAGAAATTGAACAATAACATTCTAGTTCATAGGTCAATACTCTATCACTGAGACACACTGGTGTCTCAGTAATAGAGTATTGACCTATGAACTAGAAAATAAAAACTTTCAGTAAAGTGTGAATAAAAGGATCATACCTTAACATAATAAAGGTAATTTTTAAAAAATATATATTTTATTGATTTTTTACAGAGAGGAGGAGAGAGGGATAGAGAGCTAGAAACGTCGATGAGAGAGAAACATCGACCAGCTGCCTCTTGCACACCCCACACCGAGGATGTGCCCGCAACCCACGTACATGCCCTTGACCGGAATCGAACCTGGGACCTTTCAGTCTGTAGTCCGACGCTCTACCAGAGCCGAACCGGTTTCGGCTAATAAAGGTAATTTTTGACAAACCTACAGACAACATAATATTCAATAGGGAAAAACTAAAAGATTTTTTCTTATGAGCCAGAATAAGACAGGGATGTCTGCTTTTATCACTCTTATTCAACACTGAAGGCCTAGTGCATGAAATTAGTGCATGGAGGCGGTTCCTCAACCCAGCCTGCACCCTCTGCAGTCTGGAACCCCTTGAAAGATGTCCAACTTCCTGTTGAGGCCCAATCCCACCGGGATCAAGCTTAAATGGGCAGTTGGACATCCCTCTAACAATCTGGAACTGCTGGCTCCCAACTGCTTGCCTGATTACCTGCTTGATTGCCCCTAATGGCTTCTGCCTGCCAGCCAGATCACTCTCTAAGCACTCCCCTGCCAGCCTGATCAATAGCAAACTGCTCCCCTGCCAGCCTGATAGCCCATAACCACTCTCCCTTAGTGGTGTGGTCACCTTAAACTGCCCTCCCCTGTTGGTTCTGTCACCCCTAACTTACCTCCCCTGCAAGCCTGGTTGCCAATAACAGTACGCCCCTGCAGGCCTGGTCACCACTAACCTCATTCCCTTGCCAGCCTGGTCTCCCCTATCTTCCCTCCCCTGCCAGCCCGATTTCCACTAACTTCCCTCCCCTGAAGGCCTGGTCCCTCCCAACTTTCCTCCCCTATTGGATATCTTGTGGTGGTCATCTTGTGTCCACATGTGGTCAGCCATCTTTGACCACATGGGGGCGGTCACATGGGGGCGGCCATCTTGTGTGTTGGAGTGATGGCTAACTTGCATATAACCTCTTTATTTTGTTTTTTTTTTAATTTATTTTAAAAAAAATATGTTTTATTGATTTTTCACAGAGAGGAAGAGAGAGGGACAGAGCTAGAAACATCGATGAGAGAGAATCATCGATCAGCTACCTCTTGCACACCCCCTACTGGGGACATGCCAGCAACCAAGGTACATGCCCTTGACTGGAATTGAACCCGGGACCTTTCTGTCCACAGGCCGAAGCTCTATCCATTGAGCCAAACTGGTTTCAGCTATTACCTCTTTACTATATAGGATAGTACTAGAAGTCCTAGCCACAACTATTGGACAAGTAGAAGAGATAAAATGCATCTAAATGGGAAAGAAGGAAGTAAAGTTGTTTTATTCGCTGATGATATGATATTGTACATAGGAAACCCTAAATACTCCACCAAAAGTGACTGGACTTAATAAATTAATTTGGCAAAGAAACAAGATTCAAAATAAACATTAAGAAATGGATGGCATTTTTATACATCAATAATGAACCCTCATCAAAGGATACTATAAAAAATTCCATTTACCATTACAACAACAACAAAATAAGATACCTAGAAATAAACAACCAAGGACATAAAATATCTGTATTTCGAAAACTATAGGACATTGAAAGAAGTAGATACAAACAAATGGAAATGTATACCATGTTCACAGATTAGAAGAATTAAATCATTAAATTTTCTATACTGCCCAAAGTAATCTGTAAATTCAGTGCAATCCCTATAAAACTACCAATGACACATTTCTCTGAAATAGGAAAGTACTCCAAAAATTTTATATGGAATGATAATAAAGACCCCTAAATAGATTAGCGATCTTGAGAAAGAAGAATAAAGTTGGAGGGATCACAATTTCAGATATGAACTATACTACAAAGCCATTATAAAAAAACAAAACAAACAAAAAAAAAAACAACCTGGTTCTGGCACAAGAACAGGCATATAGATGAATGGATCAGAACAGAGACTCCAGAAATTGACCTTAACCATTATGGTCAATTAATATTTGACAAAGGAGGCAAGAGCATACAATGGAGTAAAGACTATCTCTGGAAACCACAGAGACATGCAAAAAGATGAAAATAGACCACTAAATTACACCACACAGAAGAATAAATTCAGAAAGGGTAAAATACTTAATAGTAAAACATTAAACCATAAAAATCTTAGAAGAAAACATAAGCAGGAAAATTTCAGATATCTCATGTAGCAGAATTTTTTCTGAGACATCTCCTATGTTAGGAGTAATATGGAAGAAATAAAATATGGGACTACATCAAAATAAAAAAACAAAAGAAGCCACTATTAAAATCAAAAGGGAATCCACTTTATGGAATAACATATTTTCCAATGATACATCTGATAAGGGATTAATATCCAATATACACTGAGTGGCCAAATTATTATGATCTCTGAACACATAATAATCTGGCCATTCAGTGTATAACCTATATAATAAAAGGCTAATATGCAAATCGTCCCGTCAATCAGGAGTTCGACCAGCAGGCAGGCCGGCCAACTGCCCATGTCCCCTTCCCCTGGCCAGGCTGGCTGAACCCACCCATGCATGAATTCATGCACTGGGTCTCTGATATATATATATATATATATATATATATATATATATATATATATATATATATACACACACACACACACACACACACATATACACACACACACACACTGAGTGGCCAGATTAGTATGATCTCTGAATGCATAATAATCTGGCCACTCAATGTATATTAAGTACTCATACAAATCAACAACAGGAAGGTAAATTTTCTAATTTTAAAAAATGGGCAGAGGAGCTGAATTGACATTTTTCCAAAGAGGACATACAAATGGACACATGAAAATTGACATTTCTCCAAAGAGAACATACAAGAGACACATGAAAAATTGTTCAAACTCACTAATCATCAGGGAAATGTAAATTAAAACCACTATGAGATATCACTTCACATCTGTCAGAATGGCAATCATCATTAATCCACAAACAGCAGATGTTGGTGATGATGCATAGAAAAATAAATAGTAGTTCACTGCTGATGGGAATATAGATTGTTGCAGCCATTATGGAAAACAGTGTGGAGTTTCCTCAAATAATTAAAAATAGAACTTCTGTTTGACCCAGAGATCTAACTTATAGAAATATATCCTAAAATCCCAGAAACACCAACCAGAAAGACTATATACACCCCTATGTTCATAGCAGCATTATTTACAATAGCTAATATCTGGAAACATCTCAGGTGCCCATCTGTACATAAATGGATAAAACAGCTGTGGGTCATTTACACAACGGATTACTATGCAGTTCTAAAAAGAGCAATCTCTTATCCATTGTGGCAGCAAGGATGTATCTGTAGGCTATTATGCTTAGTGAAATAAGCCAATTTGAGAAAGGCAAATATCACATGATCTCACTTATTTGTAATGGAATCTAATGAACAAAATGAATTGACCAACAAAATAAGACCCGAAGTATGGAGGCATAGAACAGACTGACATATCTTGATGTGGGAATGGGGGGGAATCAAGAAGATATAAAGCAAAGAACTTATATACTTACTAGTGGCCCGGTAATGATTTTCTTGCACATTAAAAGGGAATTAATCAGAGGAAAGATTTTAATATTACTATTTGCCCTTTCTCTATTATATAAGTATCAGAGATGAAATAAAATTAGTAAAATGTATATGAAATTCTCCTTCTTGTCAGAGTCTGGGTGCACCACAGGACCCAGAGTCAAGTCCCCGCTCACCTGTATGCACCTCAAAACTGTTCAAGACCCAGACCCAGCCAACCCTACCCCTGTTGGGCCCCACAGAACAGGGGGTACAGCCTTAGGACCCCCAGCCTGTCCTCAGGTACCCCATCCCCAGTTCTGGGGCAAGGGGCACACCCTCAGGTCCCCTCCCTGGCCCAGCCTCAGGTACCCTGGACCCGGTGCAAGGACATGAGGGCATGATGACCATTTGCATATTAGCTCTTTATTATATTGGATATGTATAGCCCATAGACATGGGCAATAGGCTGGTAAGGCCTAGGATATGGGTAGAGGCCAGGGGAGGGGGATAAAGGAGATTAAAATGGGAGACATCTGTAATACTATCCTAAATAAAAAGATATATATTGAGAAATATTAACTATGTTTTAAGTGAACATTAATCAAGATTCCAGATTCTTCTTGATAAAACTATTCTTCTTTGAAGAATTTGAACCATTTACTGAAGATGAAAACTTGTGGAATATTAGAGAAATACATATCATATGTTTTGATAGAGGTGGGTGATTAAATGCAGAACATGGTTTTAAGTAGATTAGATATATTATTGGTATGGCATAATATTTCAGAGCAAGCTTTTAGTGGCAAAAGACTATGAAATATACACTTTGGATGTAAGAGCAGATGTGTAAAATATGCTGATGAGAAGAGAAATTTTAAAGACTGGTGGTCCTGAAAACTCACCTCTAATGAACAATTAAATAATATGATTTGTTCATTATCTATAGGTTTCAAGTTCAGGAAATTAATAAGCTAATACAGGGCCCAAAATAAATGAACAAAAAGCACCAATTCTCTCAGTGTACAGGAATTGAAAATCTGTTATTACTGAAAACCTGAATGTGCAGTGGGGTAAATAATAAATTACAAAGCTGCTGACTCAGAGATGAGAACCCATCTTCCTATCAAGGGAAAGCAAATGGGTGGCTGAAGGGAAGGTAGTGTAATTTTACAAGATAGCTCTGGGAATATAAAATTGAGGAACTCTGTATGAATGGAGGTGACAGATTGCTACGTGTATGGATTAAATTATAATAGCAGCACAGAATTTAAGGCTATTTTTAGTCAGATGGAGCAAAAGGTTACAGTGCACCTGTACCATTTCTGGGAGGAAATATTTGCACATAACAAATGCGTGTGTGCAAATGCAGAGTTGACAATCAGTGTAGCACATTTTCATTTTATCTTAGTTATCACAAGTTGCTTAGGGAACAAGCAAGCATTCTGAAAAGTCATTTGAAATCTTTGCTCTATATTCCCCATGGGGCAAACCTAACATTCTTTAACTGTCTTAGTGCTCTAATCTTCAGATTTACCCCTTCCTGCTTTAAGGGATTTGGATTTCATGCTCAGAGAGAGCCAAGGCAGATGGGAATTATTCATAATTTGGAAAAACAAGGATGCTTCAATTAATGGGCTGCTGGCAGGAAACTTCTGCAGTGCACATTTTACTCCCACATACATTTTGTTCAAGCACACACACACTCATGCCTATGATATCTTTTACCTTTTAAAAAGCATCTCACACTTCAGTAATGACAGAATGCCTTTGAACAAATTTCAATATGTGTTTTGTCTTAGCAGTTTAATTTAAAGATATAAAGGGGACATATGAAAATCCAATTTCAGAACAAAGATGTAACGACATATTGGGTAAAGGCAAGTCCAGTTTGAAAACTAGTCTTTCCCCCAATATGTTGAAGACCTAATTAAACTTAAGTTTACTTCAGAGCAGGAAAATAAATATTTATGCTTAATATATTTGTGTGAAGGAGGTATGGCATGGAGAATACATTTGGATTCTTACTTGAAAACAAAATAGGTTATTTCAAAGGGAGTTGAAACTGTTGCATTTTCTTTCAAGGCAGAATGATGATAGTTCTTGGTTCTTAGCTAGATTCCAAGGCAAATATGGGAAAATAATTATAGAATGTATAATAATATAACAACCTTGGAATTCATAGATCTTCCTCCCTACAGAATTGTTTTATTGTTTCACTTTCTTACATGATCATCAAGTGAAGGAGGCACAGATTTCTACGAAATAGATTTGGGGAAAATATTTCTGATTATATAATATAGTAGAGGCATGGTGCATGAAATTTGTGCACAGTATGTGTGTGGGGGGGTGTCCCTCAGCCCAGCCTGCACCCTCTCCAATCTGGGTCCCCTCAAGGGATGTCCGACTGTCCATTAGGCCCAATCCTGGTGTTGGACATCCCTCTTGCAATCCAGGACTGCTGGCTCCCAACTGCTCACTTGCCTGCTTTCCTGGTTGCCCCTAACTGCTTCTGCCTGCCAGCCTGATCACCTCCTAGCCACTCCCCTGCCAGCGTGATCGATGCTTAACTGCTCCCCTGCCAGCCTGTTTGCCTCTAACTGCCCTCCCCTGCAGGCCTGGGCCCCTTCCAACTGCCCTTTCCTGCAGGCCTGGTTTCCCCCAACTTCCCTCCTCTGCTGGCTTAGTCAACCCTAACTGCCCTCCCTAGTAGGCTTGATCACCCCCAACTGTCCTCCCATGCTGACCATCTTGTGGTGGCCATCTTGCATCCACATGGGGGCAGGATCTTTGACCACATGGGGGCAGCTATTGTGTTGGAGTGATAGTCAATCTACATATTACTCTTTTACTACAATAGAAAAGATAGAGGCCTGGCACATGGTGGGTCCAGCTGGTTTGCCCTGAAGGGTGTCCCAGATCAGGGTTGGGTTCCCTTGTGGAGTGCGGTGGCCTGAGAGAGGGGCCTGTGGTGGTTTGTGGGCCTGTCACGCCCCCCAGCAACCCAATCGGAGGCCCTGGTATTTGGAGTTTATTTATCTTCTACAATTGAAACTTTGTAGCCTGGAGAGAGTCAAGCTTTCTGCTTGGTCCATGGTGGCAGCCATTTCTGTTGGAATTTATGTTTCTTCTATAATTGAAACTTTGTAACCTTAAGCGGAGGTCTGGGCCGGCCAGGATATGTGGAAATCTTGGCTTCCTCAATCAATGGGGACAACCCTAGCCTCCTGCTCTTTCAAGCTCTGTGGCTGCCGCCATTTCTGTTGGAATTTATTTACCTTCTATCATTGAAACTTTGAAGCCTTGAATGGTGGCTTAGGCTGGCAAGGGCAGGTGGAAAGCTTCTCTTCCTCCATTGCCTGGGAAAACCAAGCCTCCCACCTGAGCTCTGTGACTGTAGCCATCTTGGTTGGGTTTGTTTGCATATTTGCTCCTGTTTGGCTGGTGGGCATGGCATATGGTTGTAGTGGAGTGATGGT